ACACACACACACACACACACACACACACACACACACATATTTTACTAATAAGGCCTAGAGTAGAAAGAGATCAGCAAAAAAAGAATATAGAAAGGCAATTGCTTTCTCTTTCCCAAACTGGATATTTTTTGTTGGCATTCATTCATGTCATTCTTCACTTCAGAACAAAAGATCAGTATTTACCCAGGCACTGGCTAATTTGTCCAAAACACATAGATGATGTCCATAGGGTTTTTCTCCTCACTCATAGTAGCAAAGTTCAGTCACAGAAAGATTCCCTCAGGACTCAGTACTTGAAAAGACAAGGGCAAGAGAAGCCCTCTCTGACAATATCCATTTATTTAAAAACAGCAAAAGAAATGAGTGAAAGTAGTATGCAGCAACAAATCGGGAGAAAAACGAAGTCTGCAAAATAGTATCTCAGAGGCAAGAAAAAAATGCTTTGCAATCTAGGCCCAACCTGTTGGAATAGAAAAATGAAAGTCCATGTCTTTAGCCCCCCGTTTCCTATGCTGCATTACTGAATTTGGTGACTATGTACTTTTGAGCTCTTTAGAGCATGATACCATATGAAGTATTGTATTCATGACCATTATACTAGTCTCCTAATATAAGGAATGTATCTGTAAAAAAGTGCCAATTTCTGGGGAGGAGCCAAGATGGCAGAGTGAAAGCAGTGACTTCCTTGAACTCTCCCTGAAACCCCTCCAAATATCTATTAAAAATGGCTCTAAACAAAATCTAGAGCAGCAGAACCCCAAAAAAAAGAAGACAGAGTAAAACAAATTTCCAGCCCAAGACAATCTGGATGGTTGATCCAAAAGGTATATTGTGCCGGGTTGGGAGAAGAGCACAGTTCAGCATGGGTGCGCAGGCTGCAGTGAACCTGGAGCAGGCCTCAGAGGACTGAATCTCGGGCATCTGTGGTGATTTCCAGACTTCTCAAGCCACAAACGCCAAAGACAACTTAGAAGGTCAGTGGGAAAAGTCTGTTTCTGTGGTGAGAGAGAAGCTAGGTCTCAGCTGCAGTTCCTGAGTGTGGCCCCAGGGGAGGGGCTGCCTCCTGAGCTTCTGGCCCACAGACTGAGGGGGAATCAAGTGGCTGATCAGAGGGGGATTGCAGGGATCTCTTTGCCAGTGCTGAGGCAGGAATCTCTTGCTTTACTGGTGCTTGGATCTGGGTCACAGTTCTGAGGGGTGGTCCTGGGGTGAGGAGGAGCTCTGGCGTGGTAGCTCTTGTAGTGGTGGTGGAGAGGAAACACCTCGTCCCTTATCGTACCACCTTGGAAGAATTGAAAATTTATAGGTCCCTAGAAGTAGCTCTGAAAACAGCTGTACAAACCCCCGATGGTTGGGACAGTACATTCTCCACATTGGAAGCATACCTCTACCATAATAAAGAGTTTATAACTCAAGTAATTGACTAGGATCATGAGCAAACATTACAAGAAGTGTCAGACCATAGAATCTTTTTCTTGCAACAAAGAAGATTAAAACATACAACCAGAAGAAGACAACAAAGTAAAGCTCCTACATGCAAAGCCTCCAAGAAAAATATGAATCAGTCCCAGGCCTTGGAAGAGCTCAAAAAGGATTTTGAGAAGCAAGTAAGAGAAGTAGAAGAAAGACTGGGAAGAGAAATGAGAATGATGCAAGAAAATCATGGAAAACAAGTCAACAGCTTCCTAAAGGAGACCCAAAAAATGCTGAAGAAAATAACACCTTAAAAAATAGCCTAACCTAAATGGCAAAAGAGATCCAAAAAGCCAATGATGAGAAGAATGTCCTAAAAAGCAAAATTGGCCAAATGGAAAAGGAAGTCCAAAAGATTACTGAAGAAAATACTTCCTTAAAAATTAGAATAGAGCAATTGAAAGCTAGTGACTTTATGAGAAAACAACACACTGTAAAACAAATCCAAAAGAATGAAAAATTAGAAAACAATGTGAAATATCTCATTGGAAAAACAACTGACCTGGAAAATAGATTCAGGAGAGAAAATTTAAAAATTTTTGGACTATCTGAAAGCCATGATCAAAAAAAGAGCCTAGACATCATCTTTCAAGAAATTATCAAGGAAAACTGCCCTGATATTTTAGAACCAGAGGGCAAAATAGAAATTGAAAGAATCCACCAATCTGAAAGAGATCCCCAAAGGAAAACTCCTAGGAATATTGTAGCCAAATTCCAGAGTTCCCAGGTCAAGGAGAAAATAATACAAGCAGCCAGAAAGAAACAATTCAAGTATTGTGGAAATACAATCAGAATAATACAAGATTTAGCAACTTCTACATTAAGGGAATAGAGGGCATGGAATATAATATTCCAGAGGGCAAAGGAAATAAGATTACAACCAAGAATCACCTACCCAGCAAAACTGAGTATAATCCTTCAGGGGAAAAAATGGTGATTCAGTGAAATAGAGGACTTTCAAGCATTCTTGATGAAAAGAGCAGAGCTAAATAGAAAATTTGACTTTCAAATACAAAACTCAAATGGAACATGAGGTAAACAGGAAAAAGAAATCATAAGAGACTTATTAAGGTTGAACTGTTTACATTCCTGCATGGAAAGATGATATTCATAACTCATGAGACCTTTGTCAGTATTAGGGTAGTGAAGGAAAAATTATATGTATATAGATATAGATATAGATATGGATATAGATATGGATATAGATATAGATATAGAGGGCACAGGGTGAGTTGAAGATGAAGGGGTCATATCTGGAGAATAAAATTAAGGGGGGAGAGAGGATTATGCTGGGAGAAGGAGAAAGGGAGAGGTAGAATGGGGTAAATTATCTCACCAAAAAAACAGAAAAGAAAAGGCTCTTACAGTGGAGGGGAAATGGGGGAAGGTGAGAGGGAATGAGTGAATCTTATTCTCATAAGATTTGGCTTAAGGAGGGAATAGCATACACACTCAATTGGATATGGAAATCTGTCTAACCCTACAGGAAAATAGGGGGAGAAGGGGACAAGAGACCAGGGGAATAATAGAGAGAAGGGCAGATTGGGAAAGGGGGTAATCAGAAGAAAACACTTCTGAGGAAGGACAGGGTCAAAAGAAAGAATAGAATAAATGGGGAGGCAGGATAGGATTAAGGGAAATAGAGTCAGTTTTTCACAATGTGACTACTATGGAAGCGTTTTGCATAACTGCACATATATAACCTACGTTGAGTTGCTTGCCTTTTCAATGAGGGTGGGTGGGGAGGAAGGAAGGAAGAAAATTTGGGACCCAAAGTTTTAAAAACACATGTTTAAAAAAAATGTTTTCACATGAAACTGGGAAATAAGAAATACAGGAAATGGGGTACAGAAATCTATCCTGCCCTACAGAGAAATAGAAGGGAAAGGGGATAAGAGAAGGGGGGGAGAGATAGAAGGGAGGGCAGACTAGGGTAAGGGGTATTCAGAATGTGTGCCATCTTGGGGTAGGGGGAGGGGTGAGATGGGATAAAATTTGGAACTCAAATTCTTGTGGAAGTGAATGTTGAAAACTAAAAATAAATAAATTAAAAAGAAAAAAGTGCCAATTTCTCCTCATCCTTCTGAAAAACATACCAAGAGATGTTTTCAAAAATTTAATTTAAAAAAAAATGCTTTATCTTGATTTTCATTCAGCATAGTATTTATACACTTTGACTATTGGTATGTGTGAAATTTTGCTGCATTAATTTGGGAAATAATAGCTCTGCCCAGTGAAATCAGTGGTGATGTACAAATAATAGGATGCCACCGGGTTTATTACATGCATTTATGCAGGTCATTTAAGAGAGGAAATTTCCATAACTGCTTCTGTTTTTTTAAAAGACAGAAAATTACTTATATGAATTTTAATTTAAATGAAAGTACATATTCCTAGAGAATTAAAAGGGAAAATATTTGCCCATACCAAAAGCAAAAGGGTAAAGGTAATTTCATCTGAGTACTATATCCAGTTTCTAAAAGGAGGAAACCAACTAAATGTTGGAGAATGAAAAGAATGCTTTTTTTGGGTCTATAATCATTAATATATCCTGATACCCAGGGATGATGACATCATAGATTCAGACTTGAGAGTGACCTTACATTTAGTCCAACTCCCTCCTTTCACACATGAGGAAATAGAGACCATGGAGGGGAAATGACTTGTCCAAGACCATACAGAAGAGAAAGTAACAGAGCTGGGATTTGAATCCAGGTATTCTGACTCCAGTTTGAGTGTTCTCATCACCATACCATGTTGTTTTCCCAATTTCTGAGACACAGAAAGACACAAATAAATATTGGTTTGGGACATGCCACCTGCTCTTTATGACATAGTATATCAGTTTATAATACCACTGAGTCAACAATGTAAGCTGGTATATTGTATTCAACTCTGGGTGCCAAAGTCTTGAAAGATCAAGGAGTTGCAACCATGCTATATGATGGATAGATAATTAAAGTAACTAGGGGAGGGGCTTAGCTGAAAAGAAGAAGATTTTAGGGAGACAGCATCATTGGCTTCAAGTATTTGAAGGGCTGTCATATTGAGGAACAGATAACTTATTATGTATGGATACAGAGGCCATATGTACTTTCTCATAGTAAGAACTGTCTGAAATACAATGGACTGACTACCTGACAAAGGAGTTAGCCTCTCATTAACAGGAAGCTTTCAAGCAAAAGTTATAGTCACTTCTTGAGGTACCATGGAGGAGTATTACTCCATTAGGCAAGGAGTTGAGTCTAGATAATTTCTAAAATTCCTTCCAACTCTGTGATTCAATGAATACCAAATTCCTTATAGATTTATGCAAATGAACCAGCACCACCTTCCCTTTCCACTGGCTAGTGGACTTCCCATTTTGTGACAAACATTACGATGGTTTGGCAAGCATGGGACAGTCTGTCCTGGAGCAATGAAGACAATAATTTCTAAGGTCCCTTCCAACTCTGGGATCTAATGAATATTAAATTCCTTGTAGATTTATGCAAATTAACCCCAGCATCCCCTTCACTTTTCTATTGCTAGTCAACGTCCCATCTTGTGACAAATATTATGATGGTTTCGTAAACGTGGAACAATCTGTCCTGGAGCAGTTTGAAAGTGATGAAGACAATTTCCATGCCAACAATAATATACATGGAACAAAAGAGAAAATGAGAGGTATTGTGCAACTCGATATCCCCAAACCCAATTGTGGTAAATGTTATAAAACAAAAATAAAATGCAGTCACAAAGTCCAATTGAGTTTCCCAAAATGGTAGAAATGCTGCTCCTAAGGAGATGTAGGCAAACACAATACAGGCAATTATTAGAATGGGAATATCAAAGTGTTCAACTATTCTTCCTACATCTCTCAAGCTTTTGTGACTAGATTGACGTGATTTTATATACTCCACCAGGTTAGGACATGAAATGCTCCTTTCTAGTTGAGGAGTAACATGCAACATGTTTTCATTCTCTCTCCTCACAATCTTTTAGAATAGTTCCATATTCTGGTGTTGTTCCTTTGGGTGTTTATGAGTTGTTTTATTGTCTTTTTGCACTTTGAAATTGTGGCCTGACTTTTCTACCTCAGTATGAGGAAAGACCTGATTGGAAGGATCAGCTTTCGTGTTCGTATTTCTATGCCTTCTGATTTGTGGTACAAGATTAAGGACGTGACGATTTTTGTAATTATTGTAAATCATAGATAGGATGGATGTTAGGACATCACCAACGGTTGTCATAACCAAGAACATAAAAGGTATCCCAAAGAGAGCATACAGCACACACACAATTTTTCCAAGTCTTGTTCTGGGGTAGATATTGCCGTAACCTAAAAACAGAAGAGATATGAAGACTTATCTTACAAAAAAGTCTAAGAGAGTCCTTTGCCATTCCCCCCACCCCCCTTCATCACATAAAACACAATCACCTTGAAGATAAAAACTTTGAAGATGTGGTGGCCTTCATTAGTGCTACTTCCAGGGACATGCATGCTACTTTTTTTTTTTTTAACAGATCTGCAGTTCAGATCAGCAAGCTTGGAATTTCCCAGGCAATGAGCAAAATAGTTCACCTCAGCTGTTATTTTAGAGATTAAGGCAGGGAGAAGCCTTTGTATGTCAACAGGCTGTCCCAGGAAGGCAGAATAACAGATCAGTACTAGACTGATTTAATAATATTAGAATCTAAGACCTGCCACACTGGGCCAGATTCTGTCCCAACCTCCAGCATGGTCTCTGGCAGATGTCCAAGGATAGTTTAGGAGAAGCCATCATGATTTCCTTTTGATAGTTGGATTCAAACCCCGATTTTCTTATCCCAAACATCCCAATTACCTTATTATGGATATGCACCATAGTTCTGTCATGGGCATCCTTCTCTCTATAGTGATCTCATCAGCTCCCATAAGTTTAATGATCATTTCTACACAGATGACTCCCAAATCTAAGTAATTCTTAATAATCCTTTTCCTCAGCTTCCCTCCCACATCACTCAGTTGCCTTCTGGGCATTGTTATATGGATGTCCTTTAAATATGCCATTTCTTTTTATGCTTTACTATTTCTAAACCCTTTCTTCAATCTTTCCATCTCTTAGTTCTATGTACACACATATATACATATATACATATATAAACACATATAAACTGATGTCTATGAACACACACACATGTGTATATATACATACATATATGTGTGTATACATACATATGTGTATGTATATATATGTGTATATACACACGCAAATGGGAATGATAGGGAGCAATTTGGTGGAGGAGATGGGATGGAATGGGATCACTTGAACAAATAGATGGATTGGTCTTGGTAAGGAGTAATGCCATTCCATCATGCAGAACTGAGTTAAAGTAGGAGACAGTGGCAGAAAGCACCTGAGTGATAGAATATGAGGAAGAGGAGAGAAGAGGGAGCTTGGGGTAAATATTCTCATTTTTTTCCATAAAATATATTGGAAGAAACTGAGTTTAAATTTTCAAAAATTAGTTTCCCAAGTGAATCAAATCTTGAAATCCAGACCAGAGGTTACAGCTATGAGTCATTCACTGGTGTCTATATGAGTGAAGCCTTGTGTCTGATACTGTGAGGGGATGAGTTGGAGGAGATACAAGGACAAATAAGACACCATTCTTTGATCTCAAAGAGCTCACCGACTAGGACAACAAGATATGGACATAATAATTATGATGAAGATGAAAGGAATAAGGGCACAAGAGAGGCTCAGGCTTCCTTCAGGGGTCAGCTCATGTGCTACTTCCATTAGGAAGTATTTGCTAATACTGCTCCATGTTAGTACACCCTCCTTATTCATATGCTATTTACATAAAGAAACAGCAGATACGGTGGATGAATCAGGAAGACTTGGGTTCAAATCTCACCTCAGACATTCACTAGCTCTGTGATCCTGGAACTTTTATCTATGTGTTTTAGTTTCCTCATCTGTAAAATGAGGGGACTGGACTTGAAGGCCTCTAAGGTCCCTTCTAGCTATAAATCTATGATACTATTTAACCTATGTTGTATCCTCTCAGTAGGATGTAGGATCCTTGACAGCAGTCACTGTTCAGTCATTTCCAGTTGGGTCTGTCTCTTTGTGACCCCATTTGGGGTTTTCTTGGCAAAGATAATAGGTGGTTTGCCATTTCTGTCTCCATTTCATTTGATAGATGAGGAAACTGAGGCAAACAGGGTAAAGTGACTTGCCCAGGGTCACACAGCTAGTAAGTGTCTGAGACCAGACTTGAACTCAAGTCTTCCTGACTCCAGGCCAGGTGCTCTATCCACTGCACCACCTAGGTGCAGAGACGATTTCATTTTGTTGTTTTTGTATCACCAGGGCCTAAGACAATATCTTGTGATGAATAGGTACCACATATAAATATTTCACCCCGGCCATCTTTAGCTTTGCCTCCCCTATGCCGTCTATGCTGCTGTTGTCTCCAGAATTTGAGTTCTGAAGGAGTGGTGTTCAGATTGGTGAAAGCCCTCTGTCTCTAACAGGCCACAGTCCCTATCAGTCTTCTCCACCCTTACTATCTTCCATCCTGTGCCCTCTTGTCACCTCCCTTTCCACCTTTTGTTCTGGGAACTATTATCAGATCACCATTCCCGCTGATTTTGGAAAGGATGCCAAGGCTATTGTTTCACTTAACATTTTTTAGATTTCCTAGATCAAATCTCCCCTCCCTGGTCACCACTCACTCCCCACATATGTTGCCTCCTCCTATTACAATAGGACTGTCTTGCTTGTCTATTTGTATCATCAGCTTAGTGGCTGGCAGACAGTATGTGCTTAATAAATTCATTTATTCATTCACTGGATTAGGATAATCTCTGCTCTGCCTACATTATAGAGTTGTTATGAGAATCAAAGGAAATAATGGATAGGAAAGTACTAAATTAACTGGACTGTATAAGCATAATGTAAAGGGATAGGGTGGGGTGAAGTTAACAAAGGTAGCCCACACCTGGGCATTCTGTTGCTTTTCAGTCATTCAGTCATATCTGACTCTACGTCATCCTGTGGACATTGTCCATGGGGCTTTTTTGGCAAAGACACTAGAGTGGTTTGCCATTTCCTTCTCTAGTTTGTCCCCATTTTACAGATGAAGAACTGAGGCAAACAGCGGTTAAGTGCCTTGTCCAAGGTCACACAGTAAGTGTCTAAGGTCAAATTGGAACTCCAATCTTCCTGATTCCGGGCCTGGTACTCTATCCACTGCACCACCTAGCTACCGCATGCTTGTTCTACCAGACTAAAATTTAAATAACAACAATAAATAACATTATCTCAATTTATCTAGAACTTTACAAAGTGCTTTTCTCAAAACAACCCTGTGAGATAAGAATTTTAGGTATTTTTATCCCTGTTTTATGGTTAGGGAAACTGAGCCTCAAAGGATAATAATAATGATAATAACAATAATAATAACTGACATTTATGTAGCATTTGCAGAGCATTTTCATGTACATTATGTACATTATCTCATGTAAAGTGATATACACATAGGCCCACAGCTATTAAGTGCTGGATCAGGGACTAACACCTAGATTTTCTAACTGTAAATTCTGTTTTCTTTTCACTACATCAGGGATGTCAAACTCACATAGAAATTGAGGTCACGAAACTGTACATAAAGATCCCTGTGGGCACATATTAACTTTGAAAATCACATATGAACATTATTGACACATTATTGTATTTTTATTTATTTTGTTAAGTATTTCTCAACTACATTTTAATCTTGTTCTGACACACTGGGGTAGGCCCTGTTCGACACCTCTGCCTGGATTTGTCACTCAACCCTAAGTGATGATAGACCTAGCTCATTATAAATAAAAGGTTTTTAAGGCCTTATCTTTCTAACTGTCTGGCTAAAGTCCTAAAAACTCAGCAGGGAAGTGGATGAGTTTCAAAGGATCCCCTTGGAAAGGGCCATTGCACATAATTACTAAATACAGAAGCATATGAAGGGAAATCAGATATTTCTTTGAATGCATTGATACATTCCAGAGTTTTCACTTTTTCCACCTCACTTAGACTGCTCCTGTTCAATACTGTCTTTGCAATTGATTGGATCCAGAAAGCAGGGTTTCCTAATGCAAAGTGGCCTCATAAATGGGGAATAAACAGCAATTGACTAGCCCTACTCCTGGCAAGTGCTTCTGTCTACAACCTGATGACAGCACCGCATTACAGGAGTCATGAAATGCAGCCCAAAGCAGGGCAGGAGGAAGTATTATCAAAGGGCTTAAAAAGCACAAATATTGATTGTAAGCCCTGCAGAAAATGAGCCACCATCATCTGGTTTGGGATGATTACCAGATGTTAAGCTACATCCTAATTGAATTTATGGTGAGATGTATCATCACTTCTGAGATTTTTAACCAAGACCAACATTAACACAGTTCATTAGAAGACAGAAAAGTTGGTTTGAATCTTGTGTTCTTTTATCTTTGGGAAAGAAATGTACACGTACATCCCCTTTCCCATCCACACTGTCTTTGCTTTTTGAATGGTTGTTTTGAAACACTCATCATTAAGCAATCATTCTCTTTCTTAAGCCAATGTACAATTCTCTCTGTCAAGGATATAGGTTTCAACGACAAATTCAGCATTTATTATACTGTGTGCATATATAGGACAGTGCTATGGGCTGGAGAAGATACGAAATGTAGGTAAGACATAGTCCTTGCCCTCGTGGAATTTACAGTCAAATAGGTGAGAGACCAATACAAAAAGCTATGATGTGTTATCATATAAGGGATAAGGGGTGGACCTCTGATTTCATTGGTGTAGGAGAATTCCCAGGTAAGGAACCTCTCTCTACCAAAGCAGGTCATCACCTTCCTGTTTTAGAAAATTGCCTAGAGCACTGAAAGGTGATTTGTCCAGAATCACACAGTCATTATTTTTCAGAGGCAACCCAGGTCTTTTTTTTTTTTTTTGGTTAGGCAGTGGGGTTAAGTGACTTGCCTAGGGTCACAGGACTAGTAAGTGTTATATGCCTGAGACCGGATTTGAACTCAGGTCCTCCTGAATCCAGGGCTAGTACTCTATCCACTGCACCACCTAGCTGCTCCCAGGTCTCTTCTTGACTCTAATATCTACTTATCTCATGCTGACTCAAACAATACAATTCAGCAAATGTGATGTAATAATATGTGATATTAATATATATTAATATTATATCAATAGCTAGCATTTACATAGTGATATAAGTTTCATAAAACATCTTACTAATGCTTCCTGATTTGATCCTTATAATACCCTAATAGAAGTGAGTATAATAAAATATGATATGATATATGATGTG